TCAACATGAGGAAAAGCATGGAATCTCCTTCCCCTCAAACACAAGCCATTGTCAAACTATTTATTCACCCTTTTATTACTTCTCCTGCTTTCTGTATCCTGGCCACCTTCTCTCCTCCTCTGATCTACTCTTACTTTGGAGGAACCATCTGTTTGTAAATAGCCACTTTTATATCAAGCTGTATTAAGAAGGCCAGATTCTGAATTGGTGTAATTCAACATAGATCCTTTTCATGGAGCTATGTCAATGTGCTCAAATTAGAGATCTGGAACAAACATCTTTAGCTGACAGGTTACAAACTAGTACTTTGCCTTTACTTCTTGAAAAAATTGTGGGAAAGTATTTTACCAGTTAACTTTTATAGCACATTTGAGCTGAAATGTGACAAAGTATAGCTGCTATAATATTTTAAACGTCTCGGGTGCATTATGCTAAAATATTTAAACATTAAATGCCGTGCTACTTTTTGCAACTATAAAAGTGAAACTGTACTGCATAGACACACTAGCCCAGCATAATGAATGAACTTGGACAGTTTTACTTATTAAGATTCTGCATTTTTGTAGATTGTCTATGGGCAGATAATCCTCCCTCATATGAAAAGTGATGGGAAGTAACTTTTAAATGAGAAAATCCTACATGGAATCCATCCTGGAAACCTTCCTCTGGAATAGCTAGCTCATTTACCTTCATTAGAGACAAGTGTGCCACTGGGCCTCAGTTTGGCCCTCTGGTCCAAAGTCTGTCTCTTCTGGTAGGCTGGTATGTGATTTAATTTAGCTTTCTAGGTAATTTAGGAAGACTCCACTCCTTCCAGCCAGAAGAAAAAAAATCAACAGAGAGTCTAAAATAAACACTGACTTTGACCAGTTGTTTTTCATCCTCTCCAAGGTACACATTTTCCCCTAGAGTCTATCTGACTTTTAGCTATAAGAGCAGACCCCCTAAGAATTCTTCTTCTCTGGTTGTAGAGTTCAAATGAGGTAGTACCTGGATTACTCTCTAACCATGCGGGCTCCACAGTTTATAGTTTTCACCTGATTTCATTGAAGAGTAGAATCTTTCTGGAGGAATTACACAGACAGTCACTCTCTCTCTCTGCCTTTATTTATAGACATACCTATAAATAAAGACAGCTCCTTGTCTTTCTCAGCTTTCTTCCTTCAGAAGAAATACAAACGATTCATTCTCAGTTCAAGTCTCTCCTAGCTCTTTCTAGGATGTATTCTGACAAAGCTTCACTACAACTTTCTGTGCTTTCCCTTGTTGACTGGTTGGCCTACAATTTCCAGGGACCTCCCAGATAACAGCCTCCTGGCGTAAGGAGACACATGAAATGAGAAGTTAATACTGATAAGAACTTCACTGTGATTTTCTGGATAACATCAGTGGGCCCAGAAAAAGGACAACAGGCATGTTCTGTCACCATCCTCGGTCAGTCATTCCTTCAGACAGGTGTCACCTTTGTTTATGTTGACTTCAGATTTCACTGAGAGTCTTTCATGTAGTTCCTAATGTGATATAGTAACAGTGCTGCAGGTGCTACTGAGCCATACCGATTATGTAAGGAGTAGGGAAGTAGTAGAGGGCACAATCTGGGCCTTAATTTCTAATTTTACTAAACCTCATCTTCCTGTCCCTGGGGTGTGTTTTATCTGGCTGTATTTCCTCCTTCCATAAAAGTTTGATTGTTACCCTGTTATACTATCAAACAGCTGGAACACCCAGCACTGGGTATATCAACATCTCATGTTGGAAGAGACCTTTTTGGTTATCACATCAATGTATTTGCTTCATTTTTGGGAGTTATATGAAATATATTATATGGCTGATGTTGTAAGCACCAGTTTTCTCAGAGTTATGCTTGGAAAGTTTAACAAATGAGATTCCTTTCCTAGTCAGGGTTTGTTTCACTGCTTGATTATACCCTGGTATAAAAGTTTCTGTAAACATGCTGAGAGAACAAAATTGACTTACATGCTGAAAGATGGTTGTATTTCCTTATTGCTCTAAAATGTCACTGGAGTTCTTACAGGCTCAAACCAGGCTTTTCACCAAGAATCACTTCCAGGGCTACGAAGGAAAATAAATCCTTTTCCACCCCAGGTGATGAAGAAATAGGAGGGCTATTTTGTGGCCACAATTTCAGATTATTATAGCCTCCATTTTGCATGTTCTCTAGCAATCCTTCAACCATCTCTGGGTAGTGGCTTGAAGAATGCGTACATGTAATTCTACCCCTCTTACAGCCCATTCTTATCCTGCCTCAAATTTCTACTGTGTAGAGATTCAAAGATGTGGATGTACTACTACTTAAGGGCAGGACCTAACGTGAATTGGAGTTAATGGGAAAAAAAACCTCCCACTTTACTGAGTATTGTCTTAGGCCTTAAATATTTATGCATTTTTTGCCCAGATTCCAAAGGAAGATTTGGAGACAAGATATGTCCCATAATGAAAAAGGAAATTGTGCATAGCTGCTTTCTTGCTTTCTTTCTTGTTTGTTTGTCATGGCTAGTTTTAAAACTTAATAAATGTCAAGTGCTTTCTGATGCTTACTTTGTGAAACACTGAACTCCTAAATTATACATTACTTTATTTTATATCTATTTACATGGTAATTGGAATTGTATAATGCATGAAATATCATTTCACTGAACTCAAATCTAATTTTCAATATTGCCCTGATATATATTTTATTATTAAAGCATTTTTAAATTGCCCTTTGTGTATTTATTCAATAGTTGTTTTTCAGAGTTAACCTGAGCCCTTGGTTTTGTGGCATTAGTGGTCTGTCTGAATTTTTCCATCTAACATTATTTTTCCTCAAGGTGGCACTTAATCTGGCATAAAAAATAGCTGGGGACCAGAATTTAAACACTGAAAACACTGTTGCTGCCCTACACTTTTCCCTTTTACTTCCAAACAGAATTTAAAAGTGAAATATAATATCCTAATCTTTGTAAACAACTCAGCCTTAGAACAGTAGATGGGGGCAATTGCTCTTCAGTTTCTGCAATCAATGCAAGCCCTTTCTGCAGGCTGTGCTAGAGGCTGAATCAAATACATTGCAGAGTCAAGAGACAATTTTCTTCTCAGGTATATAGAATGGATGAGTTGGAAGGGGGGTAATTTCACAACTGATACACTGGAGGTGTTTTTTCAAGTGAGGTGTTTTTTTTTTAACTGGCAGATTTTCAATCTCATGGTAATAGGTCACATGACAGAGTTTTAAAGATAGAGTCCAAACCCTGAATTTATCAGCTGTTATCATTTTAACTGACCTTTCTTTCCAGGATGTTGCTGAAACCTTACACTGTAATAATGTTTAGCAAGAGCCATGCCATAATAGTAAATACTGGCAGTTATAAAATATTTAGCATTTATGACTCATCACCACTATTGACAGTTGAGCCTGACTCCATACTGAAAATGATGTGACTAAAACTATTGTGTTTTGGTAAATCCAGATATTCAGTGCAATGTACTTGATTCATTGCTGCCCATGAAGGGATGGGTTGCTTGCCTACACATTAGATTGGTCCAAACAAAGAAATGTATCATTTTATGAAAAGTGATACACGTTTCAATCTCTGAAACACACTGTGTGTTTGATTCATGTTAATCTTGTCTTTCTGCTTTTGCATCATCCCTGTCAGTCTGTTTAATCTCACAGAAACAATTCTGTTGCTGCTTCCATTCCTCCTTGGCTCTTCCCTCCTCCCATGAGAGGTGTTAAAAAATAAAGTCAAGGCCTCTATAGTGTTTGCACCCTATTTTTAAATTATTCCAGTTTCTGTACAATCAATACATTTAGTATCTCCTTTCATCAATAAAGTATTTCCAGGAAAATGGTCTTAATATCCGTTTTATTTTCTCAACAGTGCTGCCTCTCTCTTTGATTATAGTTATTA